TATAATTCTAGATCACAGTGCTTTTCACCTAAACCACATCTCACATTTGTGCTAAACCAAACCAGCTTTGCTTAATCTAATTGTGGTCCAGGGAGCTGCCACTAAACACCCATCAGAAAAGTCTGATCTTCTGATGTCTAGAGAAAGCACTATAAAAATCTACTCTTCACCCCTCCTCGGGTAAACAAGATCCTCTGGGGATAACTACATTGGCTGTTTTGACTCTTTTAGCTGTGGTTCATAATTCCACAAGAAATCTCTGGTGAAGGGAGCAGATTTCTGTGCTGAATCTGGATTAAACTGAATCTCTCTATTCACTTTCCTATGGGATTTAAAGTACTGCGACTCTAGTTCTGTTTTTACTTCTCCCAGGTGACCTTACACTCTGGGAAATCTGGGGATAACTACATTGGCTGTTTTGACTCTTTTAGCTGTGGTTCATAATTCCACAAGAAATCTCTGGTGAAGGGAGCAGATTTCTGTGCTGAATCTGGATTAAACTGAATCTCTCTATTCACTTTCCTATGGGATTTAAAGTACTGCGACTCTAGTTCTGTTTTTACTTCTCCCAGGTGACCTTACACTCTGGGAAAATCCTGGCAGACTCTTCCCCCACCTTGATCTTGATATATCAAGAAAAAGTAACCTTCCTTTGGAATGTATCTTTGCCATGTTTTATTTACCAACATGGTCTATCAGATGAATCTACTTCTGTTTGCTTTCCCCCCATGGGGGAGCCAATTATGATGCAGTTCCCTCAGCTTTCCAAGCCCAGGACTAGCTCACTCAAGTATCACTAAATGAGGAATGTAATTTATGCCACCCACATGACAGCATCATAGGGTTAGCCCCTCTGCAGCACCTTTTGGGAAACATTTCCCTCTGTATATTGTGCCCATTTCACAGCCTGCATTAGAGTCCACCAGAATAGCCTTCCCAGTGCCCAGGAAAGCATTAATGCTGCTACCAAAGGGGAGTTCTGGCTCTGCTGCATGCCACCCCCAAGCCCGCAAAGCAGAAGGCCAAGGAAGGTCCAGTCATTAGGGAGTTAGTCAGCAAGCTCTGGAAACACAGGTCCAGATCCCTGATCTTAGGACCACATGTTTAAGGTACTTAGCCATTGTTTCACTCAATGACACGTGCCTGAACCCCCTAAAAGGCCCCCTTGCTGGTGGAATTTTTAGAAACAGGGTAGGCGTCAAGTAGACTTCTTCTTATGACTTGGCCCTCTGGTCAGGCCATGTTTAGTTCTACCTTTTAAGAGTTTCAGTAATATAATAACACTGCATCAGGACTATAGCCCAACTACAGACCCAATGGTCCTTACATATATCCTGTATATCAGGCGTCTTTTATGCCACCTTCCTTTGTGGATAGTAGGAGAACTCAATCCTCTATTTTGGGATCCTGTCCAAGGATCCTTCAACTAGCAGCAAAGGTCTATTCCTCAGACTCCTGGGCTGCCTCCTACTACCTCGTTATATATCTAAGCCCTTTTCCCCAGCCCTTTCCTAGACTCCAGAGAGTTCTTTCCAGATCATGAACCAAGCAGCACTTCCCAGGGCTTTCTCCCTGAAGTTCAAATTAAAATCCTAATTTCTCCTTCAAGGCTATCTGCCTCTCCTCAGCTCTGCATGTGCCCGTATCCAAATCCCTTTTCACTCTGAAACTCAACCCATGAACTCTCTCCCTGACTAGGTTCAGCACAGCAGCTTACTCCACCTCTCTAATGTCCATTGTCTCTCCTGGATCCCCCCACAGCACCCATCTATGAGCAATTAGTGCATCTGGTTGCCTCTGAAGGGCATCTGCCAGGTCACATGGGAACAGGAATAGGGAGCCTGTGGTCCCTTTCCATGAGGTCCCTGCCCCCTTTGGCAGCTCTGTGTGTCCAGTAGTTGTTGCAGTAGTTGTGCAACTAATAGGTGTCTTCTTCCAGGTAGCTTGACCATCTCAGGATCAGTGTGGAGTCTTCATACATTCATGTAATGATCTAATGCCCCTCCCTAAATCTGTGTGTCACAGAGCTAGGTTTGGCACAGACCAGTTGAATAAGAAGGAGCCAGTAGCTTTTCTGGCCATATTGGTTCCTAAAGTTATTTTGTCCCTGTCACGGATTAAAGTTTTCCAGTATCTATGTCCATCTCCACTCTTGCCCTCTATTGAGCAGGGAGAATTAACAGCTGAAATAACTTAAAAGAAGCTGTGCCGATCCACACTGAATAGAAGTATGTGGGAAGGTTGGAAAATTACAATCAGTAATGTAGGATTACGCAAGGCACAGCAAAAATGCAAACCATTTTAAAGGAGACTTGAAAATCGGTGTTAAAAATTGAGATAAAGTCACAGCTAAGCTGTGCGCTGAAAGCCCGAAAAAGGTAGAGCAATCTCTCAAAGGCATTCACATAAATAACTTGAGCTAATCTTCTCTAACTTCAGTGCCTAAAATTAAACCTTTAAATCCACATTTAGACACCAAGATAATTTATTTTATTTTCAGAGGAGCTGAGCATCCATAGCTACCCTCATATAGTGTTCACACACTGTGGTGATGGGCAATGTTCACTCTAAACTTTTCCATCCACGTGCAGAATAATGTTATGTGCACCAAAGCATGTGCAAATGTGCACCACCAGTGGGAGCTCTGCTAATCAGTTGGGCAGCATTTAAATATCTCCTGAGTAGCCACACAAATGCCCAGCTTACAGGGAACACTGATGGGCATAATAAAAAACAGATAACTAGATACCTAAGGATGCTGTGGGAATTTAGAATTCCTGCGGAAGTCAGTAGCAAAGATTCCCATTGACTTCAATGGAGCAGGATTTGACATTAAGTACCTATCTTTAGGTACCCACATTTGAAAAGTTTGACCTAAGCTTACAACATTACAGCCAGTAATATACCTGAAAGTCACTAAGAGGCATTTTGGGACATTCAACACATATCCAGCTTTCCTGGCCCTTTAGTAATGTCTACACTGCAGATAGGAGCGAGCCTGACAGCCCAGGCAGACAGTGGGGCCCAAGTTCATGTGCTAAAAAACAGCATTGTGGATGCTATGGCTCTGGCAGAGATGCAGGCTAGCCACTGGTGCTGAAACCCAGAGAGTCAGATGGGTTCAAGAGCCTGAGCTGCAATGTCCATTTGGCTATTTTTAGCATCTTACATCAAGCCAGCTAGCTCAAAAGTTTGTCTACACAGGCTAGGAGGTTTGGCTAGCTATAATGTAGACATACCCCAAGGCTGCGTCTAGACTGGCAAGTTTTTCCGCAAAAGTGCCTCTTTTGCGGAAAAACTTGCCAGCTGTCTACACTGGCCGCTTGAATTTGCGCAAGAACACTGACGATCTAATGTAAGATTGTCAGTGTTCTTCCGCAAATACTATGTTGCTCCCGTTCGGGAAAAAGCCCTCTTGGGCAAATGTATTTGCGCAAGAGGACCAGTGTAGACAGCTAAAAACTGTTTTGTGCAAAAAAGCCCCAATGGAGAAAATGGCGATCGGGGCTTTCTTGTGTAAAACCGTGTCTAGATTGGCACAATCTTTTGCGCAAAAGCGTCCGTGCCAATCTAGACGCTGTTTTCCGCAAATGCTTTTAACGGAAAAACTTTTCCATTAAAAGCATTTGCGGAAAATCATGCCAGTCTAGACATAGCCCAAATGTCAAAACTCTGAAGGATAATATGACCCCAGACGCAAAGCAGAGCTTGTTCTTTTAGCAAGGGCAGGATGTTATTTAAAACCCTTCTAGATCTTTTGGCATATCTTATGGAAAGTAATTGATATTTTAGCTCCATGTGCCAAACCAGGATCTTCATGCCGCTTGGCAAAAAGTCTTTTGCAAGCAAGCAGCACACAGAGTAGATTTTATAGAAAGGAAAGACTCAGTATGATCAATATGTACAAACGAGATCACAATTCTTTTTAATGAATTCTTTTATGAGCAATATGCAGAACTGGCCTTTAATAGGATAAAAGATAAATATGTGAGCTCTTCATCCTTCCCCACCCACACACCCACCCAGTTGATTCTAATTAAACAAATGTCTTCAAAAGCCTGCAAATAAACATTTTGAGTGCCTGAAAGTCTTTTGCTGATATTGTCTGAGTGCCTGGCTCCTCAGATCTAGAGTCTGTGCAAAAGATTGATTGCTTATATTGTGCTTACTTAAAGTCTGTTCAGCAGACAATAACAATATCTTAGTACAAAAGTGATTTTGATTATCATGAACACAATTTCTATAAAATAATTATTTTCAGAAGCAGTATATCAGAATAATATACATCACTAATGATATATATGACTTTCTACCCAAGGGTCTTTCATGAACAGGAATGTCGGCTTGGAACACAATGCCCTAGAACCCACACTGTGATCTGAATCTGCGGTTCAGTAACATCTCTATTAGGGATGCAAACTGCCCTTCAAAAGGTTAACTGTTAACCCTTACGTTTAACTGGTTAACCATGGAGCAACCCCGCCCATGGCATGGAGGGCCTCCTCATACTGGAGCAGCCCCCACCTGTGATGAGCCCAGCTCCCTCCATCACAGCTGCTCCCGCCTGCTCCCACCCCCCATGGATGGGAATCTGCTCCAGCCCTAATTTCTATTGCTGCTTCCACCTAGGATCTCAAAGCACGTTAGAAATATTAATTATAATATTAATAGCCCACTGAGGCAGGCAAGGTTCATCCTTATTTTACAGATGGAGAAACTGAGGCCTAGAGCAACTCAGACACAAATTTTTGGGCGTGGTGCCTTGATTTCATATTTTGGTGTCTGAGACACCAGAGGCCTGGTTTTCAGAGCTGTTGAGGGCCCACAACTCCACCATTGGGAGCTGCTGCATGCTCAGTGCTTTAGCCTAAGGCCTTAGGGAACCACGCCCCGGGATCTGCACGGACGCGCCTGCTGGGACAGCGAGAGCAGCGAACAGCTGGCCCGCGCTGCAGGCCAGTTCCGCGCAGCAACCAGTGGTTTGAAGGAGACACGTCCCCGGGCGATGCGCTTTCCCGCGCAGGGGAGACACCGGCGCGCGGCTGCTCGGGCCACAGCCCAGACAGCGCGCGCCCCTCACCGCCGTCTCT